TGAAGCTCATAGTAATTATAAAATCAAAATGTACTATTTTGCATGGCACAAAACATAAGCATCTCAGTACAGTAAGGTTTCCTCAACATTCACAAACTCCTATCGAGCTAAGTAAGAAAATACTATTTATTAACCCATGCAGAGGAAGAAAATGAAATACACACAATATTTTCAAAAGTATATTAGCTTTACATATAAACTAAAATATAGTTTATATTTTACATTAAAACAATATATTTAAGCCAGTGGTTCTCAACATGTGGGTCACGACCTCTTTAGGGGTCAAATGACCCTTCCACAGGGACCACCCGATTCATAACAGTGGCAAAATTATAGCTATAAAGTAGCAACGAAAATAATTTTATGGTTAGGGGGGTTCACCACAACATGAGGAACTGTATTAAAGGGTCGCAGCATTAGGAAGGTTGGGAACCACTGATTTAATCCACAAAACATCATGATATTGGTTATTAAATGTTGCAAAATAATAAGAAAAATAATGGAGATAAAAGAGAACATAAAGACACTAAATGCTTTACTCCTCTTTATATTAATACATTATAAATCCACTTGAAGAGACAAATTAAACAGAATATTAGTTGTGATGTGCTATTACAGATAACATTTTACAGGACATGATAATACTGGGTATTTCTCAATTAATTAGTTATAGTGGAAAAAAATCTCCCTACTCATTGACTAGTTTTGATGAGAAAATATTTTCTTTTCTTTATTAACTCCTATAATTTATGAGTTAAATTTCCATTAATTAAACAGGTCTTATGTACTCAATATGTGTAATGGTATTCTTCACAATTCTATTCTTAATAAGCTGGCCTTCTTGTAACATGTAGATCCTGGATAAATACATATTTAATATTCGTTTCAAATAGACAACTTGACTTAAGATGTAAGATCTGTAAATGAAAAGAATATCAATTATGCTCACATCACAACAGAAGGTTTATAATGTTGGTTTAATTGAGAACTTACAACCCAAATGGAACTTATACACAAATCATATGGCACATCACGCTGGAAACCATGAGGTTAAAAAAGAAGAAAACTCAGGGAAGTCATGCAATTTTTACAGCAATTTCAATACAAATTTCAAGAAAATGTAACACTTCTTAACTCATCAATGTATAAGTTAGGAAACAAAATTTGATTATTAGCCATGATGATGAATCACACTCACATGTTTGAATAACCTTAAACACACACACAAAAAACAATCACTTTAGTTCCAGGGGAGTCTCACTGAAGTATATTTGTTAAATCGTATTAACGCGATAGAGGAACATTTCCGTATTGTAAAGAAAGATTGCAGCCTTGGGAAGGAATAAGGATGGTAGAATACAAAATAAAGTTTAGAAACAGAGACAGGAAATTCCATGTAATTTGTTGCTACAATGTTTTTTGGTTTATTTGAATAAAAATACCTTTGCCCTTTGCCTCCTGCTTAATCCACTGCAACCCTCAGGGCCTTTTTCCAGGGTTCCCTTCCAGTCTGTGCCTCACCACACCCACACCTACGCCCAATGCAGCACACTGGCAAGTTCAAGGTAAGGTCACACACATCTCCTGGAAATCTAATGGTGAGCAGAGACAGACAAGTCCCCTGCTCTCATGGAGCTTACACTCTAGTGGGAAGAGTTGACATTGAGTATGTCAGCTTACATAACAATATAGAATCACAAATGTGATGCTCTAAGGAGAAAAAGTAGACTCCTCCCACAAGGGAAGTACCAACATTACACTGGCAGCGAACAGTTTGGGATCGTACCTGTTTAATCAGTCCTTAGGCTGGAGTTTCTTTGTGCAACTTATTTTGACATTTTTAGATATAAATGATCATTCTTATCTCTAAGACAACCCACATTTAAAAAGAATCTAAAAAACAAAAAAACACCCCACTACTAACCAGTTCTTAGAATGAATTGCTTAGCTTCACATACACAGAAAACAAAACATATCAAAACAAACAACAAAAAGAAAACCCCCATATCATTATATAAGCCTAAATTTTAGATGCGATGGGAAACCGAAGAGACATAATGCTTTTAATAATAATAACTTGAAAGATTTTAAGTCAAAATAAGAAAGCAATGACAATTTCCAAAAGATCACAACCAGTACTAGTAAGTTTGCCTCTAATACCTTTCTTTTCTTTTCCCAAAGAATTATTTCCTTGGAAGAGAGTTTATTCTCATCATATTCGGCTGCAGAATACATATCTTTGTTGAGAAAACATTTTAAAAATCCAAATAACTGACTATGGATTTTGAAACTAGAAAATGAAAACATTAGAAACGGTAATCGTTAGGAAGAGTGAGGTATCTTTGGGGCATTCATTGTGAGGCTGTCAGCATCACATCTGACATGCAACCATGGGCCCTACAATGAAGCCAATGGGTTATCTGTATTGGCCTGTGCAATGCTAAAGGATGTTGCACTTTCTAAATCCTGAACCATTAGAAAGTTTGGAAGGATCCACCACCCATCTCTAAGGATACCCAGTGACAGAAGTGCTGATCACTGAAGAGCAGTCTGGCGTGGGAGGACGAAGATGCTTAGCCAATGGCGTGTCCTCTCTACAGGCCGTGGTGGCGCTTTGGCTGCTGTTGTTGGTTTTAAATAAAATGTACCTATCATTGTTTTTTTTTTAAACTTATGAAAATATTGTAAAAACCACAAAGAAGAAATTCAAGTGATAATGAGTATGTTCTTGAATCAACTTCATTTCTAAATTCAGAAATGCAAAATATGTCATTAGGTTCCATAGAGAGCCCTTCATTTCAGTCCTCCTTCAGAAAAGTGGTATCCAAAAAATGCCCCCAAATTACATGCAAAGCATGAATTTTCAATGCAAATCAATTATTTAAACTGCCCTATATAATTCCTAACTTATGCATATGTAGATTTTTAACCTGACACATATTTTTACTCCTCCAATGGGCATATCCAGGCAAGACTATCTGTTTAATGGAGACATTGATTCATTTTTCCTTGCCTTCTCTGCATTGACATGTCAGCTTGTACAAGCCTTACAGAATTTCCTTCTTTCATTCATCTATACTAAGCCCACAGTTTCATTTCCCTGCTCTATCCTCTTTGATGGTAGGTGCCACGTCATAGTCATAATTATAGTTTTGTTCCTCAATGTGGATTTGTTTAATTGACTTGCTAATTCAGGAAGACAGGTCTCCTATTTCTTTCCGTCTAATTAACCAATAATGTAAAGGTCATCACTCTAAGTTGGCAAAATACTCAAGTTCATCGTAGAATCTTTCCTCATTTAACATCAAAGAGCACTCTGACCCCATAGAACAAAAAATCAAATCTTTCTCTCTGCAGTTTTTTTTGCTGGTTGAGAAAAAGCTCTGATAAATATTAAGTAAATTTGTTTGACACACATGCAAAACAGAAAACATGTAAGACTCACATAATATAACCGTACCAAATTACATAATTACACTAATTACACAAGATCGATATCAACTAAGTATAAACATAAACGGTTCCACGTGTAGAGTTAAATTATTATATAATTATAAAATTACCTAAAGGGCTGCCTTTTTACACAATTATGAATATATGTATGTGTACACATCTGTAAAGCTTGTCTATATATGTGCAGTCACATAAATACATACATGCATATATATAAATACATATTCTTCAAATGTCAGTAAAATAAACTATAGCTACAGTTCTTTTATGGCATCTGGAGTTCTTTCCTAAAGAAAGTGTTGGGAAATCTTCACCTGGGAATTTGGATCCAGTGAAAATATTTAGGAAGTACCTAAATGGCACACAAAATCTCCAAGAGGTTTAATACATCTTGTCATTTACATAATTTGCAGCAAGCTCAAAGTGAGATTGTAGCGCATTATTGGAAACAGTTCACCAACACACAATTGCAATACCATGTGTTCTTTTTATTGTCCCAAATAATCAAAACGGAATTATCTTGAAAGCTCTGTTTAAAACCTTGGCATCTTTTCTTACATGCCCAGCGCGTATTCATGTGCTTTTTCAAGAAGAAAAGGTTCCCTGTTAGATGACACAAACGTTAAGGAGCAGAACTAGGAAGTTTAGTCCCAGTTTCCAAGATTACAAATCAGAGCATCGGTAAGATCCTGCTACTCCATAGGGAAGACACATTCCCAGATTTAAAAATATTCATGAAAGCTCTCCCAGTGGGCACATTCATTTACATGTAGCTAAAAATGTTAGCATAAAGGCTACCCCATAGATTTACCAAAGCTGCCGATGGACTACTTCCTTGTAATGAGAACAGAAACCCAACTGCAGTCTCACTCTAGATAGTGCTAAATGGCAAACGAGACATGCTTCTGAATCTGTACCACAGCTATTAAAAGTACACATGCCTGACTTACCAATCAATGCAAGGATGGATACCTGGTTGGTAATGCTCTTAAAGAAAAGTTAGTGAACACGAAAGAGAGAATGGGTGTTCTTAGCTGTATATCCAATGCCTTTTTAAGTCACCCTGGAGGGACTGTGTATGCAGAACACTGAATCAATCAGAGATGACTGACACGCAGTAATTTTTTTTCAGTGATGTACATGTGTAGGTTTATATTACAATGCAGAATGGCTGGGGCAGGTGTGCCCAGGGTTGAATGTTCAAAGATGACTTGTTTATAGGGACTATACTCCTTATTTTAATGGCTTTCAATTGCCGCTGCAAAAACTGACACCAAAACCTGTAGCTCAGTTCTAAATATGCTAATTATGTAAACAAGTGACATGAAAATCTTACTTTAAAGAGCAAAAAATAAAAAAGAGGAGAAGAAGAGTGAAACATTGTGATGGATTTTTCTTGCCATAAATACATAAAAATAATCCATTAGCATATATACCTACCTCCCAGTACCCATTATCAATGTCAGAAGGTCTAAATATATTGGCATTACTTGGATACACTGTGAATTATACAAATGGTATTAAGAAGAAGTAAAATAATGTAATACCTTTACTTTTACCTATGGATTTGATGACATGGTTCCATGAAGAAAGGATTTCCAGAGAAAGAAAACAGAGAGGAGAGAAACAACAGTAAGAATTATGAATACATGTACATGCACCACTATCTGAAAATTAAACAAGACACAGACATTTAAATAAAATAATCGAAGACAAATGGAGATGCAGTCATTTCCTGTTGAGAATCCTGCCTTTGAAAAAGGCAAGTGCATGCAAGCAAATGGAAAGGTCCATGCTCACTTAGAAAGATACCCAATGACTGATGGGAGAGAGGGTATTGACTGCGGAACTATCCTCAGCATTCTAGAAGCCAGATGCCAGTGATGTCTGCATGTTTCTGAACTGCCATGCATGGATGAGAAATGGTCTCTAGTTGATGCAGTAAACGGAGCCTCTTCTGATGGCTTAAGTCTTTCTTTACTCTAATAGCCCTTAAGTGCAGAGACTGAAAACTGAATGGAAATTTTAATTGACACTGTCTTAGGTCTTATTTATTTGCAGATAATATAGTGCAAGGAATGAAGAAACATAAATATCGAAGGAGCAAACCAAAATCAAACCAACATATCAAGGGGAGGAAAAAAAAAACACATGAAAAAATGTGAACAAAAATTATGTATTTAATTTGCAGCCAGAGAATTTGCAAGCATTCATCCATCCTTTGCAGCGATGGTTTGGAAGCAGCTACAGAACAGGGAAACACTGAAAGCAGAGTGGAAAAGGAACAGAGCCCATACCTTGGTCGCCCATCATCAGGTGCGCCAGACCTTGAAGGGAAACAAGAGCAGAGTCAGCAATAAACAAGGGAGTACTGGAGGCAGGGCTGTCACGTGACAAAAACGTTCAGTGACAGACATCTTGTGTCCTATGAGACATGTCTGTATCACAGAAGCAAATCAAAAACATTCTTTGAACCCCTGGTTGGAAGCTTTGGGGCAAAGAGTTACAGAACTGCAATTTAAACCCTGGGATGTGCTGCACTGTGGATTT